GAAGTCGATTTACTTTGACTAAAGTGCTCAAAATACGCTCTGAAGTGACAAAACGGAAAAAAATAAAATTCGTAAATGAGTACCATTGTGAAAATCGTGAATAACTCATCAAGTATTAACTGTACCTTCGTGAAAATTAATATTCAAGTAGATTTTGACATGCTAAACAACTTTCAATTAATATAAGAAGTTGGTTTACTTTGGATAAAGTGCTCAAAATACGCTCTGAAGTGACAAAATGAAAAAAATAAAAGTCGTGAATGAGTACTGTTGTGAAAATTGTAAATAACTCATCAAGTATTAACTGTACCTTCGTGAAAATTAATATCCAAGTAGATTTTGACATGCTAAACAACTTTCAATTAATAAAAGAAGTCGATTTACTTTGACTAAAGTGCTCAAAATACGCTCTGAAGTGACAAAACGGAAAAAAATAAAATTCGTAAATGAGTACCATTGTGAAAATCGTGAATAACTCATCAAGTATTAACTGTACCTTCGTGAAAATTAATATTCAAGTAGATTTTGACATGCTAAACAACTTTCAATTAATATAAGAAGTTGGTTTACTTTGGATAAAGTGCTCAAAATACGCTCTGAAGTGACAAAATGAAAAAAATAAAAGTCGTGAATGAGTACTGTTGTGAAAATTGTAAATAACTCATCAAGTATTAACTGTACCTTCGTGAAAATTAATATCCAAGTAGATTTTAACCTGCCGAACAACTTACAATTAATATAAGAAGTTGATTTACTTTGGCTAAAGATCTCAAAATACGCTCTGAAGGTAAAAAAATTTGTAACTTAATACTACTGTATAATATAAAAAATGTAAATAATTCCAAAAATATTAACTGTACTTTTATGATCTTAACAGTTTTAAACTTACTAAACTACTTTTAATTAAAAGAATAAGATTTACTTCAGCCAAAATGCTCAAACCATACTTTGAAATATATGTAAAAAAAATATAATATTTGTTTATATTTTAAATTATGAGTTATTTAATTTAAATGTATTTATATTTAAGAAAAAAAATATTTTAATTCTATTTTATAAAGTATTTAAAGAGTATTTTAGTAAAGTTTTTAAGGCAAAAAAATAATTATAACTGAAATAAAAAAAAAAAATCTAAGTTAATAAATAAATATTAAACCGTAATACATAATCACATGTTATATATTAAAATCGAAAAATCCTATTACAAATAACCAAAAATCGGCAATTTCATGTTAAAAATCAGAAATATTATATTAAAATCAGAAATATTTATTAAAATCGGAAATATTATATTAAAATTGCCAAAAAATCAGACAGCCATATTAAAAAGGGCAAAAATCTGATTTTTATTTATTTGACCTGTGTATATCTGTAGAAAATACGTTATAAACGTATGAATTTTAATATACTGTAGAATAATACGTATACCGTATCCTTTATTTACAATATTTTTGTGAACCGTATACAAAATACTGATATACAGTAGAAATGATATACATTATAGACGTATGAATTTAATATACCGTATCACACAGTATGTTTACCGTATACTTTATTGTATTTTTTACTAAGCACATTTTGCGAACAGTATACATTATACTGATATGCCGTATGTAAAAATGCAAACTGTATCAAAAATACGTATATACAGTATAAAAACCGTATACATATTTTTTATAGGGTATCCAAGACGTTGCATGAAGATCACAGTCAAAGATCAGATCAACGATAAGTGATTTAAGCTGCGTGTCTCTAAGCCTAATCTGTGTAGCTATCGCTGCGTATGAGTCACTATTCAATCTAATCGTTAAATCCGTTATAATATTGATACAATGAATTTTCCATAAGTGATCCATACCTAAACACCCCTCATGAAATAATCAATTTCATTACGGGAGCGAACACTTGATTCCAGCCATGTTCTGACAGTGTCATGATTTGGGCTATATATATTAGTCTGGAAATCAATACTCTATTGATTAGGTAAATACATTGTCCAGCTGGGACAAACTTCCTACGAACTGTATCACAAAAGTTTTTGACCATCATGGACAAACGTTGCATCCATCGCCGTCTACTCGGTTTGTTAGAAAACCAGACCCCAAGGTATCTTATTTCATTATTAGTGGCTTGAACTATGGAGCGATCATGGCCTAATTTGATAATTTGATCATGCCTTTTTACTGACGGGTTGATAATTATCATTTCTGATTTCTTAACATTGATATCAATATCATTAATCAAGTAGAAATCATTTGCTATATCTACTATCTTTTGCATCCTAGATTTTGATGATTCTAAAAATACCGTATCATCCATATATGCACATACCAGAACCTGAAGCCTGTAATGTGTCCATGGTAGGATCATTGATATCATTTGGCCAAGTAACTTTCATTTCATATCCACTGTCTTTAGTTTGTTGTATTCCTACTAGAAGTGGATCATAGAAAATTCGCCATAGCAACGGAGATAGTGCATCGCCCTGATCTATTCCGTCATTTCCAATAAATCCATCACTTAACCCATATGCTGTGGCTATTCTAAGGAATCTGTGTTTGAAAAGGGCTTATAATCCATTCAACCAGTGATGCTGGAATGTCAATACGAAGCAATGCTTGATTTAGTACTTCTAACCCAACTGAATTAAACGCCTTTTTCATATCCTGTGTGAGGACCCATAGTTCTTTTTTATTTTCTCTGGCATCCTCAATAAAATTATTAACCAGGTGTATTGGTTCATTTGTACATTCTCTGGGTAAACCGCAACAATTGTATCCCTGTAGTATGTTATATCATTTCAAAACTGAACTCAATCTGTTCATGATCATCTTTGTGAAGGTCTTCCGAAAACAGTCCAGCAATGCAATAGGTCAAGTATTCAAAATATTATATTCAAAGTTGGTGGGCTTAAGAATAGAGAGAATGATCGATGTTTTCCATGCCTTTGGTACAAGTCCAGTTTGTAATGTCAGATTTCTGAACTTGACCAAGAGGATGACTAATTCCTCAGGTAATTGTAGAATTATTTTGTAGTTAATACCGGACAACCCTGCAGTCAAATTTTTATTTAATTCTTTAACGGTATTATTCCATTCTTCCATAGTAACCTTTTCTATTGTAGCTTCCATTACTTCTTTGAATTTACCTGCAGGTTCATAAATTTGTTGCCAAAGCGATGTCAAAGAATTCTGAAGTGTATTCCTTTTCCTAAACATACTTGCAAAATCATTGTCCACTGCTTCCTTAACTTCTTCCAGTTCTGTAGCCAGTCTCTTAGTCAAACCTTCTGATTTTTTGTTCACTAACACCTTATCTATAACTATATTGCGTGAGTGTTTCTATCTAATATGCTAGACAGCCATGTTGTTTGGTCTTTTTGTGTAATTTCAACTCTTTTCTCTATTTTATCTTTAATAGATTTCATCTCTGTTGCTTTGAATTTTTTATAATCTGCTCTTAAGCGATAATTCACTTTTTTTTTAGATTGTCAAACCAGTTTTCCAAAAACATTTGTTATAGTCATTGGTTGATGTAACATAGTCTTGATTATATTTGGCAATTTTTCTAGCCCATCTGGATTTGGCGTCCACAGATGTGGTCATTTGTTGGTTGCCATAATAATAATTATATAATAATTTAAGCAGCTTATTTGTATGACATTCTGGTCTCGTCTTTTTCTTATTATAACGTATGAAGGTATTATGAAGTCTTATGACTTTTCTAGGGAGTTCTGAGTCCGCTGTGCTGACTATAAAACTATTGAGTTTGTCCCAATATCTATCTATATCTTCTTGAGAATACTCCGTTATATAGACTTTGTTCTCAATTACTTCTTGATCTAGAGAGTTAAGTTGACTTTTTATATTAAGTCGGAATTTATCCCACTTTTCCGCTTCAATGTCATCACAATCATACAAAACTTTGGTGTGGGCGTTACCAATGGGTAATTTATCATACACTGTATTTTTCCTATTGTTTCTTACTCAAGATCATTAAAAAATTTGGGTTTTGATATATGTTGCGGTGGTGTACGATCGATATGACCATTTGAGATCAAATTAAAATCTCCCATTAATATGTGTACAATATTGTTTATTTTTTTTTTATAGTTTCATCGCTCATTTTCCTTTTAAGTAGTTCCAGGGTGTCATGAAGGATTGTTTTAATTTGTGGTGACGCGTAAACAATCCATATACAGAATAAAACATTTCTGAACAAAAAAGTATGCTGAGAGTAGATATGGTGAATGGAATTTGTGTCCTTGATAATGTTTATTCCATTTCCTTGAACAAATTAACGCTACTCCTGAACCATTATGTTTGTCATTCTGTTTGCTTGACCAATATATATGAAATTGCTCTTTAAAACTATTAGGCGTTTTGAAAAAACCCGTTCTTTCGGTCTAAATTAGTTTCATTCAAGGCCATAATGTCTACCTAGTTTTCTTGCATCCAACTTAGAATTCCATAAAGCTTTGCATTGTCCCCTGCCAATCCGTTAATATTATGGGTTCCAATGTGGAGTGTAAGGTACAACGCATCTAAATCTATTTGTTGTTGTTCCTTATACCGTATTTGTTGACTATATAAAAAACTGTCTATATTTTCTATGTTAGCTTTGTTTTTGTTTTTGTTATTCTGTACTCTAATGTTCAACATAAATGTAGCATTGTATAAGTTATTATATTAATGTTGTCCTTTCTATTAGAGCTATTTGTTCCAGCCAAATAGTTCCCTTTATATTCTATTAGAATTTATATTATTAAATATTTAAAAAATAAAATATTAAATATTAAATATAATTTTAAAAAATCTAACATTAGGTAATTTATTTAATTACTGTATATCAAATTAATTAATATTTTTACATGCATATTAATATTTTTAATTTCGTTATAGCGGTTGATAGATGGTGTGATCCTTTAGGAAGATCTATTTGCATTTATAATAATTACCCCAAGTAAAAGGCAATATATTCATACTTTGAAAGATACATCAATGGATTCTCATACTGGAACTTTTAATGCTACTGAAATTGAAAAAGTTTTGACTTTAATTGGCCCAGAGAAATTTGCAGCTGTAGTATCAGATGCTGAATCAGCAATGCAAATGGCAAGAAGACTAATTACTGAAAAGTACACCCATATTTTATCTATATGATGCATGGCACACCATTTGAATTTAGTTTCAAGTAGCATAGCAGGCTTTCGATTTTATCACACGAATTTTTTCGATTTTATCACGTTTGAAAAATTTGGCATAAATGTCGAACATGGGAGACTCAGTTGAGAATATATCTGTAGACGACTTTTTAGAGTTCATTTCAGAAGAAGGGAAAACGTTCTTATCTTATACAACATTTCAGCCTGGACAGTTTGTTGAGAACGGTTTCCTCAAAACTTTATTTGATAAAAACCCACAGCAACCTGTGGATAAAGCACAGCTTTTAGTAGATATGTTTGGCGAGTCAAACCAGTACATGTTATACCCCAATACTATCAGATGTGGAAATGACTACTGTTGATCTAACTGTGACACCCGAAACTTCCCAGAAGAAAGATAAACAAAAGGCGCGTGTTGCAGGAGATAAACAAGTTATACACCAATCATTTACGGCAAATCCTGAGGCACAAACCCTGGACAAACAAAATACCCTTTTTTGGGGGGCAAAAACTACCGCACCTGGGGTCACACATATACTGACTGGATACAGAGAAGCCGATGATGAGCGAAAGCAAGTCAGAGACATTATTGTATACGACATTCTGTATACCTGGGATGTTGAAAAAATCTTAGGAGAATTAACGATATGCGGCAAAACTATTAAGTTGTCATTAAAATGGCAACACAAATATTAGACTCTTCAAGTCAAAATAGTTTTGAACTCATTCTCTCTTCCCCAATTTACCAAGTTCTGGACGACTGACCTGGGAGGTATACCGGTGAATGGTTCCCTGCAAATTGGACTTTACGAGAAAGAAAACAACACGAAAAGTTCCAAGCTGTTATTCATGATATTTCGGTTGACATGACGATGGCTACCTTGTGGTAAGGATGGGTCCGCAAATGATTTTCAAATTCCGTAATATTGCGAATTTTGAAGTTGAATTGCGGTTAGTAGCCCGTAATTCCGCAATTCAGTTTTGGTGTTTTCTTACATACAAAAAACACCAGAACTAATAGGTTTTTTATACAAAAATGCTGGAACTATTGCTTCCGGCATATTTTTTAATTTTTTTTAATAAAAACGCCGGAACTATGGGTTCCGGCGTTTTCTTTTAATTATTTTATATAAAAACGCCAGAACTATAGGTTCCAGCGTTTTCTTTTAATTTATTTATATAAAACGCCGGAACTATGGGTTCTGGCGTTTTCTTTGATTTTTTTTATGTAAAAACGCTGGAACTATAGGTTCCGGCGTTTTCTTTTGATTTTTTTTATGTAAAAACACCGGAACTATAGGTTCCGGCGTTTTCTTTTAATTTTTTTTATGTAAAAACGCCGGAACTATAGGTTCCGGCGTTTTCTTTTGAATTTTTTTTATGTAAAAACGCCGGAACTATAGGTTCTGGCGTTTCCTTTTGAATTTTTTTACATAAAAATGCCGGAACTATAGGTTCCGGCGTTTTCTTTTGATTTTTTTATGTAAAAACGCCGGAACTAAGGTTCCGGCGTTTTCTTTTAGTTTTTTTTAATAAAAACGCCGGAACTAAGGTTCCGGCATTTTCTTTTAATTTTTTTTTTAATAAAAACGCCGGAACTATAGGTTCCGGTGTTTTCTTTTAATTTTTTTTTAATAAAAATGCCGGAACTATAGGTTCCGGCATTTTCTTTTAATTTTATTATGTAAAAACGCCGGAACTATGGGTTCCAGCGTTTTCTTTAAATTTTTTTTAATAAAAACGCCAGAACTATAGGTTCCGGCATTTTCTTTAAATTTTTTTTAATTAAAACGCTGGAACTATAAGTTCCGGCGGTTTCTTTTAATTTTTTTTTATGTAAAAACGCCAGAACTATAG